ATTTTACTTTGCAGACTAATGTTTTCAGCTTTTCAAAGATGCGGAACAGGTATGATCTACTAATAAATCACACTGATGCTGTCATAGATGCAGAAGCGAATGAGTTTTACACTGTCTCATAGACGCCTTTGTTTTAAATGTTCTTGACCACTTTAAAGATTTCTTTCAGCGCCAAAGTTAAATTTTTCTTCCGTCAAGTTATGGATATCGTTTCTGATATTCGATACAGGTTTTACTCAGATGCAGCAGAAACACCCACTGTTGAAACGTTTAATATAGTCAATCTGGTTGAAGCTTTCCAGATTGCTGGAGCGTATGGATTGCTGGCTGATCAAACCTGCATCCCCGAAGAACAGGCTACTGAATGGGCGCCTAAAATTCGTCAAGCAATTCAAACAAACCAGATTAAAATGAAAGAAAATTTAGAAAATGAATGGATCTATTGCGGTCATATAGCTCATGATGCAGTTCCACAAACTGGTGAATTATTGCAGCAACTTTCTGATATGGCAACGTTAATGGACAACAGTGAAGTTCGTTTGCATAAAGAATAGATCGAAGAACATGTGTGTGTGTAAAAAAACTATTCATTTAATTTTTTCGTTTGACTTCCTTCATTTTTCTTTTTCTATCTTAATACAGCTGTAGCTGATGTTTTAGTATGGCATCTTCGAGCTTCCAGAAATTGTGAAAACCAGTTTGGTAGAAATCAAATTTTACTTTGCGGACTAATATTTTCAGCTTTTCAAAGATTCGTCAATCAATTACGAAATCATTATCCTCATTTGATCATCAGTTTGTCTTTTGTTTTAACATTTCGAATCCTCCACATCAGCAGGAACAGGTATGATCTACTAATAAATCACACTGATGCTATCATAGATGCAGAAGCGAATGAGTTTTACACTGTCTCATAGATGCCTTTGTTTTAAATGTTCTTGACCACTTTAAAGATCTAGCAATAATTTGGAGTGGTCAATTAAATAGAGAGTAAGATTGTTTCATATATTAAGCTAGTAGTAGATGCTGGTACGACAACTGGCTCTATGATGGCATGAATCAAGATGAAACAGACAAAATGGGGGTTGTTTATGAAACATTGATGTTAGCTTATTTCTCAAACTAACTTTTTAGTCTTCATATATTCTCTTTTCCATTTCGTTTCGAATGACTCATAAAAACTTTACAACGCTTCACATCGGTAATTGACATCATTAACTAAATCGATAAAACTGGAGCTTAACATTTTTAAGATAGAAGTATTAAAAACATCACAACAAATGTAAGGATGATGACTAGCAATAGGGATACTACTTCCAATAATGTATTTGAATCAATGATATACTGAAGACTGAACGGGCGAAATGCTTATAGTAGTTTGAAACGAAGATCTGCGATCTGATAGCGCGAGACGATCAAACACTATTTGCTTTTGAGCTAGACTAATCGATATGAAAACTTTTTCAACTTAGATTTACTGTTTATGTTATCATGCTACTTAGCAGAGATGTCCATGGCGCAGAGTAGAAATCGGACCGGCCAATTTGCTGGTTTCCGATCCGGTTCGGTTGAACATTTAAAACCGGTCAGTTTTTACCGATCTTTCTATCAATTTTAAGAGTGCAAAAGCTAGTGTACTTTGTTCGTTTCTATCGATTTCCATGGCTTTCAAGATTCACAAATATGATCCTGAGCAAACTTTTCCCCGGAGTATGGAGAGAGGCGTCGCCGGAGATCAGTCACTTTTGATAACACAAAAGGTCATCTCCGGACAATAAAACTCTCAGAATATAGATGGTCTATCACAACGAATCGATTATAAATACTTCTAGCCCCCTTGGACTATTCAGAGGGTGTCCAGGAAACTTTATAACTTTATATTATATTGTGTGTTTTGCATTATATTATATTATTATTATTATATTATATTGTGTGGGTGCTGAGTTGCAGGCTTTTCAAAAAGTTTCAAAAACCTTACGGATTTTTCAGTATTTCGCACTTTTTTCCTCAAAAAAGCACTTTTGCGTAAAACCAAAGTCATATTCGGAATCAGCACGAAAA